AAAAAAATGGTTAAAAAAAAAAGTGTTCAGATTACTAACTTTTTTTGTTTTATTGCATATGTTGAAATTTTTTTCTTCCACTTTTGAGGCTTGTCTTTTCACTCTTTAATGTTGCTTTTTAGACAAACAAAAGTTCTTTATTTTAATCTAGTCAAACTTGTCGTCTCCTTCCTTATGGTTTATGCTTTCAGAGTCTCACTTAAAAAGTTCTTTCCTAGAAGAGGAGTTAAGATGGTGGAGGAGTAGGGGGACCCGAAGCTTGCCTCATCCTTGAATACAGCTAGATAATTATCAAATCATTCTGAACACCCAAGAAATTGATCTGAGGACTAAGAACAAACTGCACATCTAGAGGTAGAAAAATGTCCACATCATAGAAGGTAGGAGCTGCTGAGAGGTGATATGGGAGAAGAAAGAATTGCAGGTGCTGCAAAGGGGAGGGAGCCTTAATCACAGAGAGAGGAGCAAGAGAGAAAGAGTGAAGCAGCAGGCAGGGGGTTGCACAAGAAAAACTCTTTCCCAAAACCACCGACTGGGAAAAGGAGAGGGGCTGACTACCACAAGTCTTTATAAGCAGTGGAGCTCAAAGTCTGAAGTTCTAGACATCTGCACCATCGCTGGGGTTGTGCCTGGCAGGCTCAATGGTGGTCTGGTGGGGAAGGAGGGCAGAGGCCCAGGAGTGTGCAGTGTGGTCTGAGGATCCCCTGGGTCACATGGGGAGAAACAGCTCCCCTTTGGGGGAGTACATTTGGGAGTTGTGGCATGGCCTCTCCAGGGGACTCATTGAGTGGGGGGAAAAAAAAGAACAAAAGCAACAAAGACTAGAAAGAAACAGAGAACATCATCAGATATACCAACTTTACAGGTAACACAATGTCACTAAATTCATATCTATCAATAGTCACTCTAAATGTAAATGGACTAAATACTCCAAACAAAAGACATAGGGTATCAGAATGGATAAAAACACAAGATCCATCTATATGATGTCCACAAAAGCCTCATTTTACACCTAAAGATACCTGCAGATTGAAAGTGAGGGGATGGAGAACCATCTATCATGCTAATGGACATCAAAAGAAAGCCAGAGTAGCCATACTTATATCAGACAAACTAGATTTTAAAACAAAGACTATAACAGAGATGAAGAAGGGCATTATATCATAATTAAGGGGTCTACACATCAAGAAGATCTAACAATTGTAAATATGTATGCCCCAACTTGGAAGCACCCAAATATATAAATCAATTAATAACAAACATAAAAAAAAACTCATTGTAATAATACAATAACAATAGGGGACTTTAACACCCCACTTAACAACAATGGACAGATGATCTAAGCAGAAAATCAACAAGGAAACAATGACTTTGAGTGACACACTGGACCACATGGACTTAACAGATATGTTTAGAACATTTCATCCTAAAGCAGCAGAATATACATTCTTTTTGAGTGTACACGGAACATTCTCCAGAATAGATCACATACTGGGTCACAAATCAAGTCTCAACAAGTACAAAACCACTGAGATCATTCCCTGCATATTTTTGGACCACAATATCATGAAACTTGAAGTCAACCATAAGAAAAAATTTGGAAAGACCACAAACACATGGAGGCTAAAAAACATGCTACTAAAGAATGAATGAGTCAACCACAAAATTAAAGAAGAAATAAAAAATTACATGGAGGCAAATGAAAATGAAAGCACGACAATCCAAAACCTTTAGGATGCAGCAAAAGTAGTCCTAAGAGAAAAGTATATTGCAATACAGACCTACCTCTAGAAGCAAGGAGCTAGAAAAGGAACATCAAACAAAGCCTAAAGCTAGCAGAAGAAGGGAAATAATAAGGATTAGAGCAGAAATAAATGATATAAAAAAAAAACAGAACAGATATATGAAACTAAGAGCTGGTTCTTTGAAAGAATTAATAAAATTGATAACCCCCTAGCCAGACTTATTAAATAGAAAAGAGAAAGGACCCAAATAAATAAAATCACGAACAAAAGAGGAGAGATCACAACCAACAGCACAGATATACAAACAATTATAAGAGAATATTATGAAAAATTGTATGCCAAGTAATTGGGCAAATAGGAAGAAATGGACAAATTACTAGGAACATACAAACTACCAAAACTGAAACAGGAAGAAATAGAAAATTTGAACAGATGAATAACCAGTAAAGAAATTGAATCAGTAATCAAAAATCTCCCAACAAACAAAAGTCCAAGGCCAGATGGTTTCCCAGTGGAATTCTATCAGACATTTAAAGAGGAGTTAATAGTTATTCTTCTCAAACTGTTCCAAAACATAGAAATGGAAGGAAAACTTCCATACTCATTCTACAAGGCCAGCATTACCTTGATTCCAAAACCAGACAAATACCCCACTAAAAAGGAGACCATCCCTGATGAACATGGATGTAAAAACTCTCAACAAGATACTAGCAAATCGATTCCAACCGTACATTAAAAGAATTATTCACCATGATCAAGTGGGATTTATTCCTGGGCTGCAGGCATGGTTCAATATTCACAAATCAATCAACGTGATACACCACATTAATGAAAGGAAGGATAAGAACCAGATGATCCTCTCAGTAGATGCAGAAAA